GACAAGAGCAACAAAGAAACCCACGCTCCACCCCTTCTTCCTGCTCTGAGAGAACAATACTAGGGTGTCTCACACACGCATACCCTCCTGAAGACACACATTCACAAACAATGCCCCCCCCCGCACCTCCTCTCGCTGAGGCACAATGGTCGGGTGTCACACACGTCTGGGGCAGAATTAGCCGTTGCTTCCTCTCCCTGTCGGGGGAGACAAAGTTAGCCTCCCCCCCCCCCGGCCGCCACACAACTCTATTTATAAACAATAACAAGGCCCGCCCTCCGCCGGCTTTCACCAGAGAGCGGCTCGCCGTATTGTTTTCAAGCGGACGAACATCTGCCTGTGGCCGACCTGCAGCTCTGTGTCTCGTGTTGACTCACTGACGGTCACACCTTCACAAATTCCACTGAGTGTGTTTTCCTTATTGCTGCTGCACTTGGATGCTTGAGCTTCCCTGTGCAGGATGACGAATGATTGACGCTGTTTTTAAATCCATCTGCTGAAGAAACAGAGATGTTTGAGCGTGACTTTATGACATCACATACGGAAGTCAATCCCAATGCAATACACGACCAGCAGAAACTATGGAAATGGGAGATATCTGCATATTCATTGATTACAGGGTTGTTAAACAATGGATGGAATATGTTTCCTTGGAGCATTTTAACTGATGTCTTCAAGCATTTCTGCAAATGATCTTCAGCGTTGTGAAACAGATGGTACTGACATCATCTCTGTTGCTTACACAGTGATTTCATAATCCCATTTGAAGACTGACAGACAAAGAACAACAACCTAAATCAACAGACAAACATTTGTTTGAAAATGAACCTGATAGGAAACACGTGTTGACGGATTGTTTCCTGGCAGATTCAGTTGATTTATTGCATCACGTGAAATGTGTTGAGTTGTGTGTATTGGAACATGGTATAAAACTTTGTATTTAAGGAAATTCAAGCTTAAGCTATCATCAACTCGTCAAACGATTTTCATGTCTATATGTATGTAATAAACAAATAATATATTGATCATCGCACGAATATATGACATCATCGCACTCAACTGTTCTTCTGAATTAAAGTCAGAAGAAAAGAGATTCTCGTAACGAGCTGAGGTGAGTTTGGCTTTTGGGGTTTTATAAAATCTTCTTTTTCATCGTTGAGACGCCGTCCACATGCTGGACTGTTTCTTTCTCAGGACACGTACCTCCTTTTTATTCTGACCCTGAGAAGAAAGCACAGTTATTGTTTTATACCGTTCTTTGTTTAATCAACCTTATTCACGAAGGCATTGTTTGTGTTACGAGTCTGTTAATAATATTAGACAGCACCAAGATTATTTCCAGCAGTCAACAGTTAGCTTGACTTTGTTTGGTTAAGGGCTAACTGAGAGTTCCTGAGCCCGATATCGACCTCGTTCATCATTGTTACTCCGTCAACACTGCAGCCGAGCCCAATTTACACTCACAAGTCACGCCGATCCACACGGGCTCTGTGCAGGAAATCAAACCTAAACAAACTTCTACAGCTAAATACCCGATGACATGTGGACCGTTGTGTAAATATGTACAGCAGAAGCAATTACACTTAATGCGGGAAATATCCACCGTGTGCAGCATTTATTGGCAAAATCTGCCTTTAAAACTACTTCAAAGCCTCCGTGTGCATCATAACCAGCTATTTCCTTCTGGTAACACGGTCTAGACTCACTTGACTTATCGCCGGAAAAAACGCACTTGTGGTTTTCTAATTCAAGCCCCTTTTTGATTGCACTCTTTAAGTCGACAGAGGAGATGGAAAAGTATCATTTTTGGGCCAAAATATCCTGACGTCCGATGTTTATTTCTAAATAAATATCTTAATGCGCATTCTGGAACTCACCATTATACCAAGTGTATCAATATTCACAGTCTGAGAGGATTTGGCAGTTAAAGAGAAGATTTGGAGAAGACAAAATTACCTTTGGTTTTAAATCTCAGCTCCAAACTACTGATTGGGGGGGAGATTAGTATTTAGGACAGAAGAAAAACAAGACGGAGGACAACATGTGAAAACAGGAAACTGCACCACAAACAAATACAAGAGTACAGAGATCAATGGAGGTGAACCGTCACTGCAGCCCTGATTATTTTGGTGGCCGTGACCCGGTGTGGTGGCCTGATTCGGCGGAAGCGGGGGAGAAGAAGGGGAGGAAAGTGGGAGGGGGGAGGAGGGGGGGCGGGGATTTGATGATGTCGTGTAGCGGGCCCCTCACCTTCAAAGGGCGGCCCCTGAAAGGCCCTACTAATCACAACATGTGATGAGACCCGTAGAACAAAGACAGCCGTGCAGAAAATAACAGCGTGGGAACTCTGGGTGAACTTGAAATACAACAAGAGGACTCGCACGCCCCCCTCAGCCCCGCCCCCGCCTCCCACTACACACACACACACACACACAAACACACACACAGTCAGAAAGTAATGTGGACGCACACCTGTGTTTATTGTGACAAAAGCATCAGGTTGCACTCGGATGTATGTGAACGCAACTCCCCCCCCCACACACACACACACACATCAATAATGAGTTCGATGAACGTTGTGCATCTGTCTGTCTGTCCTGCTGGAAGCTCGGCCTTGTACAACAACAATAAGATGAAAACAGCCCTAAGTGCTTCCTGTCATTCACGTACACCAAACAGGCAGCCTCGTCTCTGTGTGATGACTATTATTCGTCTTTGGCTGCTTTCGGCTCCCACTGATAAGGATCCCCATATCACTTTGTGTGTGTGTGTGTGTGTGTGTGTGTGTGTGTGTGTGAGTGTGTGTGTGTGTTGAGGTTAGTCATGAGTGATCCGTAATTTAGTGTTGATCTTTATTACCACAAGATCAACAACACGAATGAATGGAACGGTATTTTGTTTTGCAATATTGTTTTCACGTCCTCCAAATCATGATTTTGTGTTTCCTGATTGCATATTGATGCACGTATTCAGGAACCTTCGCGTTTTCTTGCCTCTGAAGAGATTTTTCTGTGCACACCGTGTGGCAGGTTGGGTGGGTTTGTTAACGTGCTGACGGCCCCAACGGGTTTCAACGCGGATTGGAAACAAGGTTAACAAGCCGAGGAGCCTTTTTCTTCTTGTGCTGCCACGTGTAGTTTGCGGGTAGTTCAGTGATGTTAAAATCTACTTTGATTACTATTATTTTGTGTATTATTTTATTTTCTGCTTTTGTTTTCCCTCTGTGTTGGAATTTGTTCCATTTCAACGGAGTTCTATATTCTTCGTATAGGAAATAATATTATTGTTAGGAGTTAAGATTTTAAGTCTTTTACGTTTTAATGAATACAGCCCTCTCATATTACTGTATATTAAATAGTTCTGGATAACATTATAAAATGCATGTGAAATGTCTGCACGTGAAATCTGCACGATAGTAAAACAGCCTAAATTGAAAGAAATAATCAGAGATTTGGAAAGATACCCTTGTTTGCTTCTTGGTGGGAAGTTTCATAGGCAGACGCGCCAGAAATAAACTTGTATCAAGGTTTTCTTTTGTCCTTTGAAGACCTCATTCGTAGCCAACGAAAACACGATTCTTAGTTCAGGTGATTAAAGACCCAAAACATTATTATATCATGTATCATAGTCCATTCCTGAAAATAAAGTGCACCAAACCTCACACACTGTTCCATTGGAGTAGGTGTATTTATCTTTTATGTTGCCTTATTGTGATATTCACTGTTCTAATTAAACCGAAGGGCTCCTGCTCCACACGCAGTAACACGAGCCCTGCACGCACACAAACACACACCAGCCGCCTCTGTCAAATTATTTGGGGAGTGTGACCATTTATGGGAGCTCGCCGGTCTTGTGGTGGCGATGATGTGGAAACTCTCAGAGGGGGAGAGAAGAGAGGAGAAAAAAAAGCAAAGAAAAAGAAAATCGAGGTCTGCTTTGATTGCATTATGGTCTTTTGTTGAAAGTACTTGAAGTCTCTCGCAGCGTCTCCGCTGAGCATGAGGTCTCTCTGTGGGGTGAGATTAGACGCGGTGGCTTCCTCCGGTCGCGGCGGTGCTTCCTGTCTCTCCTCCCGGGCTGAGTCAGTATTGGATTACAGGTTCACACGCTCGCTCGCAGACCGCCCGTCGCCCCGACCAATTGCTCCATTCATTCCAGCGCCGGAGACGGCCGCCGGCCTCTGATTGGTTATCAGCGCCGGGTTGGGGAACTTTCCCACGGCCAACGCGTGCTGACAGCCGGCCAGCCACTCCTCGGCACCGCCGGCGCGCACACGGGGGCGGGAGGAGGGGGCGGTAATCGGTTGGGGGGGGCGCACCGAGGATCCATTGGACTGCTGGCAAAGGGTGTTTTTTTCTTCTCAAAGATCGTCTATTTTAAGTGTGTCAGAAAAATGGCAAGGCCGATATTACGCGTGGAAATGTATCAATTTGATTAAATCTGCAGTCATGAAAAAGAATGACATACGTGATAGGATGGTCGGGGTAAAACAGCTGCTCGGGGAAAAGCCCGTTTCAAAAGAGAACTGCGCTCCTGAAATAAGACTCATTGACGCGCAAGAACCACGTTGTTCTTGTACTTTGTTCAGACATTGAGCTGCTAAAGAGTCAAGATAGCGAAGTTCATTCTTGGCAAAACGATAGTCACGCACCATTTTCCTTAGCGGACCGACATTTCTGCAGCTTTCAAGGAGAAAAATAAACTTAATCTGAAAATCGAAACCACAAAGGGGTCCTCAGGACTAGACTTTTTAAGACCATGATTTCTGTTCCAAATGGGTGGTTTTAAGATGTATTCATAACCTTGGAACTTAATAGTTTGTGTGTTTCCATCGCAAGACTTGACGCCAGAACTTTTAACTTCCACAGCCTTCAGTAATATCCACAGAGTGAGACGTCTTTACCTTTTATTTAATTCTCTCTGATGTAGCAAAGCCCATCGCGACGTGCTTGCGCCAACCGCGCCGTCACTCAAACCCCCGGCCGTTTTGTGATTGGCCAGTTTCTCCCGAGGCCCCGCCCCCGCCGGCCGGCAGCAGCGTTGAAATGACACCGTGGGAAAGCTGAGGGCTTCAAACGGGGCAAAACCTGGGCAGACGCACGTCTGGAAGACACGACAGAAGCGCCGAAGGACTATTGTGGACAAATCAAAATGAAGAGGAATCACGATTTCAGTTCCTCGGACAGCGAGCTGGACGAGACTATCGAGGTGGAGAAGGAGAGCGCGGATGAGAATGGGTGAGTTTGGCTCCGAAGACCTGACACTTAAATATTTAGGAATTGCAACCAAAAAAAATCCACGGGACTGATCGTGTATGATCTGGTTTAAGCAGCATGAGCTCTCCTCTCGGGTCCATGTCTCCGACAACGACAACAACCCAAGTGCAGGCGAGGAAAAGGCGTCGAGGAGTAAGTACACTTTAATATTCTTTAGTAGAAAATCAATTGTGTGCAGTTGGGAACCTTGTGCACCAAGTTATTTATTTATTTTTGTTCGTTGTCATATTCTGAAAACTAACCAATGATTTTTGTACTTTGTCATTTCCTCAGATAATTGAGAAACGGCGCCGTGACCGGATCAACAACAGCCTGAGCGAGCTGCGCAGGCTGGTCCCCAGCGCCTTCGAGAAGCAGGTCAGCGCCTCCCACATCTCCACCACGCGCTGTGCCACGAAACCGCTGTGTTGCATTTGTGCTCAGTTGGATTTTTTATTAATTATTTTTATTTTTTTTGCATTGAAGGGCTCTGCCAAACTGGAGAAAGCGGAGATTCTGCAGATGACTGTGGACCATCTGAAGATGCTTCACGCTGCTGGAGGCAAAGGTATGTCTGAAATGGGTTCACTGTTGCGGGAAAACACCTTTCGCGAGTCACTCGTGAAATTAAGAATAAAGGACAAATACAGAGAAACTTCTCTCGTCTGTCTAGTTTTGACTGATTGTGTCACTTCTGCTCTCACAAAGTGAGAAACATAATTATCGATATCAGATAAACATAGTTCAGCTCTTGACAAACTGGTTTTGCAGCAGGTCGGGGTACTATGTTTTAGAACTTACCCTGGTCCCTCCCTTCTGCCCTCAGGTTACTTCGACGCCCATGCCCTGGCTATGGACTATCGTGGTTTGGGTTTCAGGGAGTGCCTGGCCGAGACGGCCCGTTACCTGAGCATAATCGAAGGCTTGGACAGTGCGGACCCCCTGCGGATCCGCCTGGTCTCCCACCTCAACAACTATGCCAGTCAAAGAGAGGCTCACTCCGGCCTCAGTCACCTGGCCTGGGGCTCCGCCTTCGGATCCCCCCCTGCCCACCTGACGCACCCCCTCCTCCTGCAGCACCAGCAGGGGGCCCCGTTGGCGGCTCTAACCCGCAGCACCACCAGCAGCCCCCAGACCCCTCTATCGTCTACGTCCACCTCGTCCCCCTCATCATCCTCCTCCTCTTTCCTCGTCGGTTGCAGAGACTCACGCGCCGGGCCGGCGCAGCGGCAGCGCCATCTCTCACCCGGATCAAGGTCCGATCCGAGTGCTCGCCACCACCGCGGCTCTCGTCAGCGTGCCACACCCGGCCCTGGTGTCCTCGTCGGTGTCCAAGCTGTCCCCTCCTCTCCTGTCCTCCCTCTCTGCGTTCCCCTTCCCCTTCAGCGCCTTCCCCATCATCTCCCCCGCCATCGGCGCCCCGGCCCCCACATCCAGTGTGGGTAAACCCTACAGACCCTGGGGGATGGAGATCGGCGCTTTCTGACTGAGATGAAAAACTCATGTCGATCTACTCAAAGACTCGAGCTGAGCTGGACTTTCAAGGACGATACTTTTTATATTCCCAGCTTAGAAAGTTCTATTTTCTTCCATGGCGTTGACATCGCACAGAGATTTTTACCTTTTATTGCTAATGTATTGTCATATTTTTATTTTTACAGAAGAGTAAAAACAGCGAGGAAGGGGGACAATGTCTAAAAAGCAACAAGAGTGATTTAATGCTACTGTTCTCTGCCCCCCCCCATACCCCCCCTACTAAAGAGTGTCACCCAATGCTGTCAGCAGAGCAGGGATGGTTTTTCCCGGCTGGTTGCCCGTCAAGTTCCTTGCTGAAACTGTCCCCCCTTTTGTTTTCGCTATGCGCTGAAGGACCCACTGTTGGTGCCCTGGTTACAGCGAGGAGGAGGGGGGGGTCAAAGGGGGGGCCTGAAGTGTCACCCCCTTTTCTACAGCATTTCATGGGGTGCAATAACCCAAACCAGGTGTTAGTTTGACAAAATACTGGGATGTAATTTCGCTACCAGCTTGGTTGAAATAAACGTGATTTACACGTACAGCCTCTGAGGTTCGCGTGACGCTCCGTTGTTTAGGCTCGCTTCTTTAATTTATGTTTCCTGTCCACAGTACAGTTAACAGCGCAGACTTCACACGTGTTTTAGCAGCTGTTCCACGTTTCTTTTGGATTTCTCGTGTAACTGCTATATTATTTTCTCGTCAAAGCAGCAGCATTATTGATCTGTAACCATCAAGAGGAGAGCTCTATTGTATGTGCCACCGTAGAACAAGGCACCACACTCCCGTTTCCTGCTGTCCGCCTGATGATAATCTTGTGTCTCGTGGTAATTCTCACTGTTTGAGTTTGTATATTTTATGGTTGTACAAAGAAACAAGCAAGCACTGACCAATCAGATTTCTCCGCTTTTCAGAGTTATCACTGGCGTTCATGCCAACTTCCTTGTAATAAAAGAGTTCTGTTAAATCACCTGAGGCTTCATCAGTGTCATGTTATACGTGTTTGTTTATCGGTGTGTGTGTGTGTGTCTGTGTGCTGTACGTGGCGACGCCTGCTATCAGATGAGGCGGCTTGTTTCTCTCAGCGGCCCTCTGTGTGTGCACAGGAAACCATTAACAAGGAGGGGATATCCTGGACAATGGCAGCCCGGCTGGCCCCATGTGCTGCGTGGGAACTGGAGGAGGAGGGATGAAGGAGGGAGGGAAGGTTGGAAGAGATTGAGAAACTAAAGGAATGGATGGGGAAGAAATGAAAGGGGGGGGAAGGGGGGAGTGAAAAGCTGCGAGAAAGGAAGTGTGCACAGTTTTTTGTCCCTCTGCCATCGTTTGAGCTGGCGGCCAGCTGCCCCTTCTGTTCCTCGCTCCTGCGTGCCATCACCTCCTCCTGCGGCACCAACGGTTTAACCACTTGTCAAAATACCACTCGTTCTTTCTTCCGTGTCCCCGAAAATGCACACAAAGTGTCGTTCCCCTCTGATCTCTCCCGTCAGTCTCCTTTCTGTTTCTTTTTCCTTCCATCGCCGAGGGTGATGCGGTGCCAGGTGGTGATGTAAGCTCCACTGCAGCCAAAACCACAAGGTCAACGAGACGTTTATTTGAGACAACTTGTCTGTTGTCTCCCCCAGCTGGTCATAGCCGGTACTTCATCAAAGATTCAAAGATTTTTTTTATTGTCATTTACACACTGTTTACACCCTGTGTATTGAAATTCTTGTGCTTGCCTTTCCGGAAAGCCGACCAATTATAAAAATTAAAATAAAAATAATAAGAATACAATATTTACCTAAATGTACATGAAAAATAAAAAATGAGCTAAGGATAAGGCAGAAATGAAGTGACGGGGAAAAGTGCATAACTGAGCAGGTTGTAAAAGAAAAAAACTTAAATAACATGAAATGTGTGCAATATAAATTAACAGTACAGTAAGTGAATCCTAACAAGCTAAAGTGCAGACCAGTTGTGGATTAGGTTATAGAGTCCTCTCAGCTGCTGATGGCTCTAATGGCAGTGGGGGAAAAAGAGTTTTTCAGTCTGGTGGTCCTGCATTTGGCACTTCTGTACCTCCTGCCTGAGGGTAGAAGCGTGAACAGACCATGTTGGGGGCGGGTGGGGTCTTTGAGAATGGAGGCAGCTCTCCTGTGAACCCTGCGGTGGTAGATGCTCTGCAGAGAGGGCAGTGGGGTCTTGGTGATCTTTTCTGCTGTCCTCAGCACTCTCTGCAGGCGTTTGCGGTCCACGGTGGATGTGCTGCCGTACCACACGGTGATGCAGCTGGTCAATATGCTCTCCATGATGCAGCTGTAGAAGTTGCTGAGGATCTTGGGAGACATCCCAAACTTCCTCAGCCGCCTCAGGAAGTACAGCCGCTGTTGAGCCTTCTTGACCAGCTGCGTTGTGTTGAGTGTCCAGGTCGCTAAAGTGGACCCCGAGGTATTTGAAGCTGCTCACCCTCTTAGCTTCAAGCTCCTGGATGAAAAGTGGTTGACGAGGTCTCTCCTCCTTCCTCATGTCCACCATCAGCTCCTTGGTCTTGTCAGTGTTGAGGGTGAGGTTGTTATCCTCGCACCATGACACCAAACTGGCCACCTCCCTCCTGTAGGCCTCTTCGTTCCCCCCAGTGATGCGTCCTATCACTGCGGTGTCATCAGCAAACTTCAGGACGATGTTATCCTTGTGGGAGGCGACACAGTCGTGGGTGAACAGGGTGAACATCAACTGGGACCATGGAAGTGGAGGACGGTGGGAAAACTGCAACATCCATTCCGACGTAAACGCACATAAAACCTTTTATTTCTCCCAATTAAATGTTTTGTTTCTCATTTTTGCCAGGTTGCAGGTGTTTTCACAATTAATGGAATAAACCCTTATTGAGCCATATCTTCTTCTGTGTTGTGTAATACTAAATCAATCCACCTGATGGCGCTGGGTATTTAACCCCAGTTCTTTTCCTTGCAGGAAGTTGGAAACTACAAAAGTCTCTCCAAACACTGTGAGCATTTTGTCTGTCAAATTTACAAAGGTAAGCGTATGTGCTGTGTTCAAAAACAAATATACAGTATTTCTACCAGAAAAACAGCACATGGTTTGGTTTATATTCAAATAAACTGTGTGGTCGGCCTTGGCCAAAAAATGAGGAAATAAAAAATGAAGTTCAAGTCAATTTAATTTGACTTAAAATGCTTGTAGTTTTATCTTTAGACATGTATTAGAGTCTTGTGGATTGCAGCACAAACTATTTCCTATATTATGTTTCTGCTGTGATATGAGAAATTCAAACAAGAAAAAACATTTATTCAAACAAGGGTATCGGTCCCACCAGGGGGATTGTTAGAGACATCGTTTTCTAATTTCACAGTGACACATTCACTGACCAAATAAATGATTCACTCTCAAAGCCAGTTTCATTCACTGAACCCCAAATCTTTATTAACCACTGCTTGCTCACAAAGATATACGTGGAGAGGAGGGATACACACAAATGGACAGAGGAGAGAAAGAGAGAGGCAGGTAGGATCGTCCGTCTGTGATGTTGTTTCACACTGCAATGGCATCGATTTTACATCACCGGGTCAATATCACATGGCACAAACACTCTGTTATCTACCTGCCATTTCCGCAAAACACACCCACACTCACACACATCTGTTGGCCCGCCGTGCGAGTGTGACCGACATTCCTTTAATACACTCCTGAACACCTTTACAGACGGCAATACTTTGTTTTCCATCATGGTTGCAGCTACACCTGTTATGGCTTAAGTATCTTTCTTGTGCCGACCTTTCGGTGGCGTTGACAGTGTCTTGGAGTGAAGTGCGATGATTACAGCAGGAGCTGATGGCGTTTCGGCCACTACTCTATTCTAGCCTCTATGAAATGGAGAAAGCGGCAATAAATTTGTAATTTCTCCGGTTCGCGGTAACGCGTCTAACCTCAGTAGTGTTGTATAGTAAATACAGTAACTTGTGATTGTATGCTTGTTTCTGAAGAATATAAGAGGCCCGCGGGTTGATGGACAATCGAGCGAGCTCCTCTTGAGCTCCGTGCTGTGATTGGCTAAAGGCCCGCCCATGTGGAGAGCGTGTGAGTGAGTGCTTCTACAGTATGAACTCATGTGGAGAGATGAGGAGGTTGCAGACGGAGGGGAGGGGGGAAGAGGATGGGCTCATTAAATGCTATAGTGTTCTCCTGTGGTACAATCACCATCTACCTCACAGGAGTAGATGTGCAGCGACTACCTGCGGTCCCCAGACAAAGCAAACCGCCCCCCCCCCCCTCCCCGCGTTCCTTCCGGTGGCCCTCCCGCCCATGTCCCTCGCTAATTGGCATGAAACCGGTTGGAAAATCACTCCAACCAAACACAGATCCAATTCTGTTTTCCAGATCTGACGGGTCGAACGAGCCAGGGCCCATTCAATGGGACGAGGGATAACAGCCGGATGGGGGGTGGTGTGGGTGTGTGGGGGGGTCGGGGCCTCGCAAGGACGCAAAGCGGGTCGCGGCAAACATCGGCTAGCTGGCAAACTCACGACAAACACCTACGCCCGAGGCGATTCTCGGGCTGAAATGAACCAAACAAAAGCCTACAATGAACAAATAATTACATCCATATTCAAGCAGGAGAGAGGAAACCTATATAGAAAAAAATGGCACACTGCAATACTTGCTGCTTGTATCGTACTGTATATAACAAAAAAAGAAGTATTTACAAAAACCAATACCCACTGTCACTTCTCAATTTGATTTTTTTCATCTCAATTGAAACGGGGCTAAAATATTCTTTTTTTTTGGGAAGAGTGGGTGGGAGACATTAATTTTCCTTTTTTAGCCTAAATGGTGGTTTGCTGTTTTTTTTCCCTCCCCCAACCCCCATTTTGATCCTCCCACTGGGTCTCGGGGTGGCGTCTCGGGCTGTGGTAGTTTCCATAGTAGTATGGGGGGAGTATGGCGGACAAGGTGGGGACATGTGGGAATTAAGGTGGGGAAAAAAACGGGGTTGTTCCTCAGGGTCGGGGGGTGGTGGTTGGGGTTGGGGTTAGGGTTAGGGTCGGGGGGAGGGGGGGGGGAGGGTTGGAGGTGGGATGTAGATCCTGTTGGGGCTTCTCACGCTGTCACTTCTTCTCTCAACTCCTTGTTCCGGCGCACCTCCTGAGCGTGCCTCTCCTGGAGAAAAGACACAGATTGAGATCGGGTTTTTTCTGGATTTATGACCCGAGCACGTCTACACCTCTGGTCCTTACCCTCTCCTGCAGGCGCTCCATTATGGCCGCCAGGTAAGCCTGCCGGTTCTCCTCGATGTGCTCCATCTTCACCTGGAGCTTCTCCTCGGCCATGCGGCTGAAGGCGCTGTTCTCCTCCATGGCCTTCAGCAGCACGTCACGCTCGTGGTCGCGCTTCTCGGCCAGGGCCCGGAGTACCTGTGCCTCCTGGGACTGGAGGCGAGAGTACGAGAGCAATGGGTCGATGGAGAGACGGAGATTTGCTGAAAAACACTCATTGATTTTTCTTGCAATGTAAGCACGAGTAAGCACTGCTGTAACTTATTAATGCTAAACACAAAGAATTCACTACTTGACACCTTCATCCTCTCTGGACATTTGATTTAAATGATTTAAAGAACATTTCGCCGTTTCACCCATAGTATTGGACATCTGGTGTTAAAACAATGTGAAGCTGTGCTATTGATTTGAATGATTGATTTGTTGGTGGTCTGCAGGATGTGCCAGCTGCTTCTATTGACTGAAAGGACATTCGAATCAATAAGATGCATTAGAACTAGACAGATGTTGGGTTAAGGTGACTCATGATAAACCAAACAACCAGCCGTCAAAGTGAAGTCTAATAGTTATTATGCAGCACCTGCATACCAGCAACATTCTGGTAGAAGGTCTCCTGCTTTGGGAAGATGTTTGGTTTGGGTGCTGCAAAGCGCTTTTTGTGGCTCTTACTGAACCAAAGTCATGCGTGGCAGCCGGGTGCCATGAAGATGATTGGAAGCATCCTTACTCTCCTCCGTTCCTCAGCTGCCTCCAGTTTCTTCTGGATGTCCTCCAGGGAAACGTCCCTCTTTGGGGGGGTGGTGACGCAGTGCGCAGCATCAGACACGGGGGAGGTCGGCTTCAGGATGACCTCGAAGGCCTGGCCTGAGGCTCGCTTGTTAATCGGCTTGATGTCCATGTCTGCATGCGTGCGCATTAATGTGTTAGAGAGACAGACGGGCGGACAAACAAGTCTCCGTTGGCTTTTAATTCAAACACGTTTTATTTAGAAGATTTGATAGAAATCGGATCGCCGCGTACCTTCGAAGTCGCCCATGATGTTTTTGTGGGTCTCCGGATACAGACAAGAGCAGATGAATGAGAGAACGGAGATCTCCTTCATCTTCTCTTTGTATGCTGTGGAGGGGAAAAACAAAAGATGAAACAGGACTGTGTGTTAACTCACTGTGTGTGTGTAAAGTGAGTGCACATACACAAAATATCATTAGCCTACTAACATACAAAAAGATGAAACCCTCTTCCTCCGCCACAGGAGGTCCTTGATGTAAATTATTATTCATCATGTCCCCCCCACCCCCCCCCAAAAGAAAACCTCATCAAAGGATCCCTCTTGGAGCTGCCCTGGGTTTTGGAGGCATTTTGCGTCCTTTCTCTTCTCAGCGCTGCGAGGGAAGTGGGATGGACGTGTCCTTACTTGGCCTCATTCCCCAAACAGCCAAGAAGCTGCCGCTCCCGCAGGATTCCCCACACATCATTAGCTGCGCATATTATTTATTAACAAAGTCAGACCAACGCCCTATTGCCTCTCACCCGTTCTTCGGCTGACACCTAAAAAGACCATGCGTTTCTTTTGTTTACAGTGGATATTGAGATGGATGTGTGGTTTGGGTTGTTTTTTTTAATCTTATTGGCTTGTGGATGTAGGCTAATAGCTGAGCGTTTAGCAGCAATGTGAATGTGAATGAAGGGAGAAAGTGATCCAACAAAAAGAAAACAGAAACACTCACACACACTGTGATCGGGCCACACCTTGATTTTCTTTTATTTTGGCATCTACTACTTTGTAATGTGAGCACCGGAGTGCAGCAGAATTCCCCGCAGGGAGAACAGCAAATAATATCTGCAATGCACAGCAGCTTGCGAACTATTCCGCTTTCACCCACGGCCGCAGCGTTCTGTCAAGGTACACCGCCCCATGGAGGAGATTTGCACGCAGAATGCCATAATATAGAACAATAATCCATCACACGGAGTTACGGGGCCTGCGGGGTTGAAGTGTGCCACGTTGATTCGTGATCTGCAGAGAGCTACAGTAGCGAACCCCCAAAATTAGATCTGCTGTGAAAGAGCTTCACTGTGGTGGCGTGCGGTGTGCAGCGTGATTGATGCAAATCCTCTTCCTCACTCATATTCCCTGCTCACTCCATCCTCCTCTTCTCCCTGTCTCTCACTTTCTGCCCTGCAGACCGGCAGACGCCACGGTAATGTGATCAACCCTCAGATGTAGCTCTCACTACTCTCTCGTGGCCTTGTTAAGCCCTCCCCGGAGGAGCGAGTGAGATAGGGTGGGAGCATGGATGGCGTTGAAAAGAAGGAGAGGGGTGGAGTAGGAATGGAGACAAAGGGGGAGTTTGGTAGAGAAACATTTCTGGCAGATGAGGGGAAAGAGAGGGTGAAGGAAGATGGATAAAATGTTTGGCTGCTTCACTGTCTCGATAACTCCTTTCTGATATAAACAGAAATCACAGACAGGAGGATTAAACCAGTAAAAGGGGCAGCTCCCAGTGGGACTCCACCCGCCACCACCCACCGCCCCGAGGACAGCCTAATAGAAGCAGCCACTGCAGGTGGATGTATTGCTTTAATTTGTAATTAGCGGGCCGAACCATTTCTGCTGACGATAGGGGTGGAAAGGGGCGTCCGGTGGGTTGTCACCGGCCCATTAAGGGCAGAGTGTGTGTCAAGACCACAGTAGCCATTTGCTCCAACACACAATCCCAGTTGACTGCTGAGGAATGAAGCGCTAATGATTCAGCGGAGCAGGTAATTTCAGTTAAGTGCATATGCAGCAGATCATTAGGGCTTTAGTTCAGCGGTCGCCACCCTCAGGAAGATGCCTTTTCTGTTCAATATTGTTTACATTTAGATCCGGATTTTGGACTATTTGTTTTCATTAATCATTATTTTCTCAGTCTGGTTGGGTCAACAAAATATTTAAGTAATTGTTAACAATCTTGATCACATTCATGTCATTAAATGTCTTGTTTTGTCCGACTAACAATCCCAAACCCCTATTACACAACTATTACATTTACAATTATGTCAAATAGAGCAGTTAAACAATACTACGGATTGATCATTTTAAAAATGGTGCGGATCGATTTTCTGTAGATTGATTGTTTGTTAAATTGTTGCAGCTCAATACTGGTTTGTTGAGTTTTATTTCAGTTTTTTTCACCATAACGACCAGTGTCTTGGAAGATAAGCACTCACTGTGAATTGAAACAGGTCTTCATTCTCCAGCACATTTTTTTCATATTCCTAATCAAAAATATATGAGATTCTCCATTGTGCTAAAATGTGAAATTGCCTTTGTATTTCTCCTGAGAGAAAAGATATTCTCCTTCGGTGAACCGCTGGATAAGCTAATAAGCTCCCTCCCCATGCAGCACACGGAAATTGGTAAATGATCAAGAGGGAAGTTCCACAGCGGGACGTGTCCAACCACCAGGATCTGTTCGAAGACATCGGCTGGGTTTCAGACACGTCTGGTCAGGCAAAACCATTTCAGACACACATGATAGCGCGCGGATGCCGGCACTCCGCCAGGCCGCTTTCAGCTCTGAGAGCTGCTCTTCCTGCCCCCCCGACCACAGGCACCGGGCCCGCAAACTGCGCCGCGCCTTCCAATCCGTCAGCCGTCGATATCTAGTGTGCCTCCTCCCCCGCGAGCATCCCCCTCCTCCAGCACCTCCTGCATCACCGAGACTCACTTCCATCTGTTGCTGATGTGTTCTCAGTCCCACTTTTCTCTTTCATAGTCCATCCATCCCTTCATCCTCTCCCGGGAGCTTTCATTCTGGCTTGGCAAAAACCACCACACCTCTGCTTGGTTTCTCCGTTTCTCTCGACCACACTCTGCTTCTCTGCCCTCCTCCTCTTCTAATTACCCAGCCCCCAATTCAAAAAAAGAACAAGCAGTAGAGTTACTTTGAGCAAAACGGCCCAAATTGAGAAACATTAAGTGACACAAACCATGACCGGGTGTATTGTACAATGTTTACTGCCTTGGGTCCTTTAACCTCGCAGCAATATGGGCTTGGCATCTGCGCTTGGCATATAAAAGCCCTTTACAACAATATAATCACAAAATTATGAAGATATTACCACTGCAAAATTGGTTGTTAAATAAAACGATACAGCACCCAGATGAATTAGTCTTTTATGGAGGGATGGGCCGCACCCTTTGTCCCCCAGATCAGTGCACAAGGCAGCAAATAAGGATATTTTTCAATGGATTGGAAACATTTTGGTTTATATACTATCCAATAATCAAGGAAATACACATCTTAGTTTACTAACGCACAGGGAGGACTTTAAATCCTGGCAAAAGACCCTAAGGTATTCAGTTCATTATCACACAAAACCACAAAATTAAAGAGCTATAACAACTCAATCTGTTTGGGAATTTTTGTTTCAAAAATGACTTAAATGATTATCATGCTAGTTGCATTTAATCATTTCCCTCAATTGACTAATTGGTGTATCTGCCAGTGGTTACAGCTCTGGATCAGAACAGTAAAAGTGCAGATCAAAGAGGTAGCTGTGTGTACAAATGTCTAAAACCCCGGAGGATAACATCAAAACTAGGACGCTAAAATCTCTAAACTGTCTCTTCCAAATCACGAGTGCGTGGCGTCACCGCTGGATGGATGCCACCTCTTCCTCCCAGCTTCGTTTCAAAGCAGTCCTCCGAACCAGAACACGTGAGTGTGCCGAGTTGAGTCGATGAGACTCTGTGATAAATCAGCTCGCGTTTGCGAGTCTTTAGACCTTCGTACACATTAAGACAATAGTGATGCAGATTAGATGTCGCTGGATTTAATGGGGACTCGGGGCTTAAAATTGATGACGCCTGAGAATCCTCTGTTTCCTGCACACAAAGGAATTGATTTATAGGGGAGGCTCAATGACCACACCTTACAGGACATGACACGGGTGCGTGATAAGGATCAGGAAAAGGGCTGAAGAAGCCTTAAAGCAAACACAAGTGTTCTTATAACGGGTCTTTTGAAGGATAGTTGATACAGCTTGTTATGTGGAGGCCTTAGATATGCTCACTTCTCAGCTCAGAGGAAGAACAAAACACACATTAAAATATATAAATGTGTATTTACGCTGCCCTCAATAGTCTGACTCTGGATGTGAAATCTCCGAAAGTAGAATTAAATTCCACATGCGACTCTACTGCGTTTCTGTAGCCGACGCAAACTCAATGACCTGCAAGATGCTGAGTGGCATGATGACGGCCTTCGCCCCTCAGTGTCGGCTCGCTGCCCATCCCCTGAAGCTGGTGCACGGCTCAGAGCAAAGAAAAGCAGGAGGAGGAGGAGGAGAGGGGAACACATCTAACAGTGGAGGCTTGAATGCCGGTGTCCCTCGGTGCAGACGCCATGCAGGACCCCTCACCGCTGTCTGTCTGCATGCCCCTCCATCCATCAAGTGCTAAATCAAGCATAAGACAAACAGGCTAGCCGCTAGACAGGCCACACGCTCCCTTAAAGCGAGCACACTTATCTTTAGTGGCAGATAAGATTAAAGACGTCTTATTCCGTCGAGCCCGCAGGTCACATCCAGTGTGTGTGTGTGTGTGTGTAGGCCTCCCAACGTGATATGTTAAAATATTTGAATTAACGCATGAATATAAATTATATATATAGGCTAATGTGGAAATGACACACACATGAGGCCTACCACCTGCAATAACATGCAAAATGATTTTTATTTCTACCAAATACTGTCCCATAAAGCTTATATTATAGTACATGCATGTCTATAACCCACCTAATAGGATTGCCTCGTATTATTCCAGAGACGACATTCATTTTCATCTTGAGTCGTAAATTCTTCCCTCGACTGCAACGCAATTCTGCCAAAGGATGCTCTTTTCTTATCTCCCTCTCTCTCTCTCTCTCTCTTATTCACGCCTTTAGCGGTCACCCACAAAATTGGATGAGCGGGGCTTTTTTTTCAGCGAAGCTTCGTGCAGTGAGATTGTCCCAGTTTTGGTAAAGGCGGTTTGTCACGGTGAGATAATGTCACACCCTGCGCAGGGCGGCCGGCGGCTTCGGAGGGACCGGGGATGTTGGGTGGGGTCGCTGCATTATGCTGCGCGGCTCCGCGCGTCGACACCATTCTGCTGTGGGAGAAAATAACGTCGCCCTTTATCTCCCCCCCCTCCCCTCCCTTCCTCCCCACCGCGATGCCGTGGATTCATTATATTTCATACATTCGTTCGCATTAAAAGTGAACTTAAAATATATATATATGCGTCACTGATTTGGCGAAGTGGATCACATATTGATCGCCGCTCGCGTGGATTTCGGATCAAGACACACGCAACAAAAAAAAAAAGAAATCTTGTAAAAACAAAGATTGAATAAAAGAATAATCCTGCTTCAATTTTGCAACTTCATGTTGAAGCAGTGACTCGCAGTGGAGTTTGGCCGCTCCCTGTAAGCAGCCAAACCCTCAGCATCCTTTTGTGCCATGGGTGTCGCCACAGTATCTAAAAAAAAAGCATCATCGAATCCGCAAAGCCTCTGCAATCTCTGGGAGAGAAAAAATAACAAAAATATCATGGTGCAAAACTCACCAATTGCGGTCTTAGCCATTTCTTCGGTGGTGGTGGGTGGTGGTTGGTGGTGGTGCCGGGGTCGGTTGGGCGGAGGAGGCTGCGTCGGCTGCTGGATGCGGTATCGCGGGGCGAAGTGACTGCTGGTAAGGCACTGAGTCAGCAGAGACGGGACTGCCGGTGCGCCTGCTGGTCTGTTGTGAGCTGCGTCAGGTCAGCGGGAAATAACTAGGACCAAACCGGAAGTGCAGGCGAACGCGCCTTCGGAATAAACGCTATATGGCGATGTGCAATTACGAGCATTGATGGAATGTTATCGATGCCATCAGCGAGTACAGCGATGTGATGTTTGGATTAGTCTATAAACTAGAAAAGTAAACAATTCCCTGCATGTTGCTTTTCTATTATGAGGATTTTATGTTGATTATGCCAGAGCTCGTGAACCAAATCTCTTTAATAACCTACCTCATCTCGTGCTGTGAAGAAATATGGCAGGCTAAATTGTTAACTATTATCTGGCATTGTCAAGTATAGATCGATCGCTTATTCAAAAAAATAATTGACAGATGAATTGATAGAGTAAGGGATTGTTTGGCTGGTTGCATACACAGCATACACAATATGCATGCATATAAAAAAAATGTCTCGTACTGAGAAAGATTTCGTTTTGGTAAACTGTCAATGCTCTATAAATCATATCTTCATCGGCATGAAACCTTTACACATATTTACATTTTATATCCAGATTTGAAAATGCTTTATTGTGAAATGTGTAACAGGAAACCCGAACATGTCACAATCTAACGGCTTTTCACCGGGTCCCTAATGAGCGTTCATGTGCTTGCTCGAGCGATCATTGACGAGCCTCATCTTACAGGCCTGACAAGCCCCAAGTCCCCTTTATGGAGCGCTCAGGTCCTCTGCAGGCTGGGTGTTTCCCTCTTTGTTTCAGGGTTGAAGAGCAGATGATAGTCAAAGTCTCGGTGGCAGGAACAATGACTCCTCACAAGACAACGGTTTTCATACATTTTTTTTAGATAAAATGTTACACAATTTGGATTGGAAGCTTTATTAGCCTAAACATGCATGTTATTACTAGGAGGGTCCGGGCGAAGGAGAGTTGCAGTTTTCATATTTCACATTAAATAATACATACAGCATAATGCATCCTCTGATGATGAATGCCTACAGTCAAAAGGTCAAAAGCATATCCATTAACATTATACTAAGTTATTTATAGCAATTATTCACCAAAATAATTGGTGTGGCCCACGAACATCCAGTGATGTTCATATTTGGCCCACTTGATATTGAAGTTGAATAGCCCTGCTCTAAACCGATCATTTGTGGTGTTTCCGGGTTCGTTTTTGACGATCGCCACCAAGCTAAAATAAATAAATTCCACAGTAACAGTTTTGAGGTATAATTGACGGTATTCTTCACTGTTTCAAACTGTACTCCACACAGCAAAGGACGCTAAGCAGTGCACCGCCTGTGAGATGATGACAATGCTGAAGAGCCAGGAATGACTAGATACCATCGGATTGTGGCGTACAGAATTAAACCCAGGGACAGGACAAAAAGAGGCGACATACACAGATAGGAGTTGTTCTAACATAACAGCAATATAAAACAGCAAAAATGTGCTTCTTATAAAATAGAAAGAGCCATGCATACAAAACTGGTTATATGATCCTTAAAAAACTGTTCACCATCCATGGTTACTAATAGGTTTTTAATCTATTTTCAGTGATCTCAAAATAGCTGTTCTACCATCCAGGTTCCCCATCCAACCTGACAAAGCTTGAGCGTATCTGCAGAGAAGAATGGCGGAAAATCCCCAAATCCAGGTGTGTAAGGCTTGTTGCGAGAGACTTGCGGTTGTAACCGTGCCAAAGGTGCATTAAGTAAAGGGTCTCAATACGTATGTCTTCTCTTTCTAAAATTATGTTTTCTCTTTTTTATTATGTGGTATTGAGTGTAGATTGTTGAGGGTCTGAATACTTTATGGATGAAATATGTGTGTAGTGGCAAATTATTTCTGGGTCATATATTTTCCTTTCTAACACTGATAAATGCTAATGATACGAAACTTGCTTACATTTTTCAGATCAAGCATTGGAACAACGTTTACAGGGGAGAACAGGCACTCAACAACACCAAAAGTCCATCACTAGTAAGTATCAACTGCACAATATAAGACACAATATTAGTCAATATGAACCACTTGTTCTGATCCTTGCATTGTGATTACTATATGTAGTATTAAGTATGATTTCTTAAGTACTATTAATGATCTCAGCAAAGTACATCTGTATGTAATTTCCCCCACTGGCCGTAGGAATTTTTCCTTTTTCCTCCCTTCATCTGAGTTGTACGGTGGCCCTGAGAGCTCAGTGCACTGCAACCAAAAAAAAGCATGCTAATAGACAAAACAAGCAAATTAAGAAAACAACTTCACCCAATTGACAATACATGTTGCTCATTTAGAAATCACACTGCAAATTCCGGCAACACAGTAAATACAGAAAAAGACAAAAGTGTTTCCAGGGGACATTAAAAGGTGATGAACACGGCTTGGACAAGCTTGTTGGTGCTACTTTTTGTGACTCATGAAGTTAGGTCCGTGTTCGTTTGTGGACTTACATCATGCTACTGATGCTACTGCATGCACCTCGCAGGACCATGCAGAGTGGAAAAGCAGAATTTTATCAATCATTCTAATTATATTTGAGGAGATTTGAAACTTTGCTATACGGTTCCACAGTGACTAATGACGGCCTGTAATCAGGAATCAGGAATCAGGAAACATTTATTGCCAAAATATGTCAAACATACAAGGAATTTGTCTTGGCGGTTGGTGCGTGACAGTAGACAGTGAAACAATAGACAACAAGACAGCAGTGCACAAGTAATAAAATAAAGTAAAATGAAATGCTAATGCAATGGGTTAGTAGAATAAGGCTATGGGTTAGTATAAAACAAGAGAATAAAGTTAGAGTTAAAAATTTAAAATATTAGCATAAAGTGCACTAGCGAACAAGTAACAAAGTGACGAGTGACGACAAAGTGAAAAATTACAGTTAAAGTGGCATGTGCAGTATGAAGGGGAGTGACCGGTGGAATGTTATAGTCAGTCAGTGGGGGACCGGGCTCTGTTGAGCCGGTTGACTGCCGACGGGAAGAAACTGTTCGTGTGGCGGGAGGTCTTAGTCCTGATGGACCTCAGCCTCCTGCCAGATGGAAGGGGCACAAACAGGTTTTGTCCGGGGTGGGAGGGGTCGGCCACGATCTTTTTAGCTCGCTGGACCTGGAAGCGAACAAGTCCTGCAGGGACGGCAGATTGCAGCCGGTCACCCTCTCTGCAGAGCAGATGACACGCTGCAGCCTGCCCTTGTCCTTGGCTGTGGCTGCAGCGTACCAGACGGTGATGGAGGAGCAGAGGATGGACTCCATGATCGTCTTTGGCAGGTTGAATTTCTTCAGCTGCCTCAGGAAGAACAACCTCTGCTGAGCCTTCTTGGTGATGGAGCTGATGTTCAGGGGAACCGGTGCTGATGGGTCCGAGAGGCTGAGACATGTTTCCCCAGCTTCACGTGCTGCTTCCTGTCAGACAGGAAGTCTGTGATCCACTTGCAGGTGGAGTCGGGGCACGTGCCAGCTGGGGAGAGTTTGTCCTGCAGCATAGACAGGATGATGGTGTTGGAAGCAGAGCTTGAAGTCCAAAATCCTGGCGGTAGGTTCATGGGGAGTCCAAATGCAGTAGGATGTAATAGGGGGTCTGTTGAAAGCATAATCCACAAACTTGTTGGGTTTGGAGTCGAACTGAGGGGGGCGGATAAAGGGGGCGTGAAAAGTACTTAAGTGGGTACGTACTAGCTCGTGCAAATACTTCGTTGAGAAATGTTTTCAGGCGCAAAGCCATGATTATTTTAAGTTCTGTAAAACCTGGAATACTAGCCACCTCCTCGATACCTCGTCGCCCTCGACCCTCCCTCTTTCCTCACTTTTTTTTTTTTTT